ATATATATATATATATATCTGAGCGTATTTTAACATTAGCTATACAATGCAATAAAAAAAATATGCATTTATACGCAAAAAACATCAATGACCTTGAAAACTCCAAAAAAAAAATTACTGAAAAATAATCTTTTTTGCAATATATTGCAAAATGTCTCTTCATACCATTCAATTTACATATAAAATATTTTTATATCATCATAATTGATGAAGATATTTAGTTGGCCTGGTTTAGGTGGGCACCCTGTATACACACTTAAGACAAACATTAACAAACTTCGAGCTTATCGAATTATAATATTCATGTTGCACCACAGAAAATAAGAAAAATTAATTTATTCTTCTATCTCGAAAATCGAACGTCAAAAATCGAAAACAGAAATTAATCTGTGAATAATATCCAAATTTAGCAGATTGTTCTCACCTCTTGAGACTTAAGGTTCAACGCGTTTGTTAAGGATTCGTTCGCAGCTTGTTGAGCATCTAATCGAGCTTGCAAATCTTCCACTGACTGAGCTAAAGGATTGACTTCATTGTTCGATGACAAAACTTCTCTTAGCATACGTTCTAATTCCAATCCTGCTTCAGTTGCGCTTTCTAAATCCTTTTCCAACATGGTTACTTGATCCTCCAATTCTGCCTTCGAACTCTACAACAAAAAACACAAGATATGCAAGTTCAATTTCACACAAATGTACGATAAAAATAAATAAAATATGTATACATGTACCTGTGATGCCTCTAAATCAGCTTTCAACAATACAACCATTTCGTTAGAACCAAATGATTCATCTTCTATGCAATGCAACTAAAATATTTACATTTTAGTATGATGAAATATATATTCGAATTTAAATAACGGAAGAAAATATATATGCACAGTAATATGATGAAATTAATTTACTAATATTGCTCACCTTTTTTTTAGTAGACTTTAAGTCTTCAGTGAGTACTTCACACTCTTTCGTTGAGACCAATAGCTCTTTCTCCAGTTTATTAATTTTCGCTATAAGTTGACTATCTCTTCTTATATTCTATACAAAAATATATATCTTAAATTCTATTCAACAATGCTACTTAAAAAATTGAATCACATAATTACGCATATGTTGAGTGAAAAGCTCAGAATAAAAATAAATCAAATTCGTTATCATTAAGATACTTCATAATTACAATACTTTATATATCATATAATTCTTTATATATTATAATTCTTAGAATAATTGTTATAGATTATGTTTTGAACTTCAGATATATAATCGAGATATTCTTACCTCAATGTAATAATATCCAAGAGTAAATATAAGTGTTGTTAAAGCTGTCACAGCTAGATACATCAGTGTTTTCCAATAATTATAATCTGTCATTATTACATCAATCATATCTTCTTCACTCTCTCTCTCTGTCTCTTTTTCTGCCTTCTACCGAAAACAATTACTACGTGTAATAGAATTAAGAGCCTTCACACACAAATTGCCGTAGCCGTAAGACATACCGTAAGAATTGATAAATTACGATCGAATATTCATAAAAATGACGACCTTACGATTCGATGATTCTCAACGTAATTGGTCAATTCTTACGGTACGTTTTACGTTACAGCTAAGACAATTTGTGTGAAGGCCCTAACTCACACATAAAACATTATTATAAACAATTCTCTGTTCACTTACTTTCAATAACTTGAAATTATCCTGGATAATATTTTCGGTTGTGCATTCATGATCAAGTGAGCAAACGTTATCTAAAGTCACTGCAGAGATATAATATAATTATACAGAGAAAATAATAATTATATATATATATATATATATATATATATATATATATATATATGTGTGTGTGTGTGTGTGTGTGTGTGTGTGTGTATTATTTTTCGACTTTCAAATTTTTTCCGCGGCACCCTCCAAAAAGTTCCCATTTAACAAAAAAATCCTTGCCAAACTTTTGCTCGATCGGAGAACTCGTGTCCCCGGGTCGTTAAACATTAGAGTACCCTTGTATTAAGCTATCTACGTTATCAGTATGGTTTTTAAAATATGTTTTCCACAAAAACCGCTCTAGAAGATTTCTTTTTCTCTCTACATCATTTAGATCTTATAGTCTCATTTAAACAATTAGATAAATTGTTGATGAATAAAAAATAAAAATAAATAGTTATTGCATTTATTGTTTGAGCTACAACAAATCATGTATAGACTATAAAAGTTGCAATAGTATGTTTGGAGGACAATATAAGTGTAAAACCTTTCATATTTTTATTAATAAAGAAATTTTTTTAATTAAATATTACATAATAATTAATAATCTCGTGGCTCCTAATCTTATGCTGGGAGGATCATAGATGTATAATACCTAAGCCGCGGGTTCGCAACGCTTCCTATTGTCTGTACGCGTTAAACAATATAAAGAAATAGCATTCTTTCGGTAAAAAGTCTGTCTCTTTCTAAAGAAGGCTGTTTTATTCCCATCACTTATCGTAGTCTTGTAGCGGGAATAAATGTGCCATAAAATTAGTTGAAAGTATGCCTCTGAAATACCAGGCAATTATTAATAATGAAGGCGACTGGACAAGTTATTAATAATAAAACATCACAGTTCTAATCAAGTAGTATATGTTTATTTTATTCCAAATCATTTCAATAAATTATTTATTAAGTTTTGCCATACAAGCTCTTATCAAACAGACTGTAACATCTATGGTCCCCTCCCAGCATAAGATTAGGAATCACCATATTATTAATTATTATGTAATATTTAATTAAAAAAGTTTCTTTATTAATAAAAACATGAAAGATATCATGTTTTACACTTATATTGTCCTCCAAATATACTATTGCAACTTTTATAATCCATACATAATTTATTTTAGCTCAAACAATAAATGCAATAACTATTTATTTTTATTTTTTAGTCAACAATTTATCTAATTGTTTAAATGAGACTGTAAGATCTCAAATGATGTGGAAAGAAAAAAGAAAAATCCTCTAGAGCGATTTTTATGGAAAACACTTTAAAAATATCGATAACGTAGACAGCTTAATACAAGAGTACTCTAATGTTTAACGACCCAGAGGCACAAGTTCTCGTTATCTGATCGAACTCAAACTTAATAGGAATTATATTTTTATATGGAAACTTTTTGAAAGATTCCGCGGAAAAAATTCGAAAAAAAAATTTTTATTAAGAGTAAATGAGGACCACCCTAATATACAGGGTGGTCGGAAACAATCGTATTCGTTTAATTATCTCGTATTTTTTAGCGAATTCTAAAACTATTTTTCTTCTTGCAAAATGTTATCCGAGGCTTAGTTGCTGAGGTATAAAGAGAAATAGTTAGCCACTCACAGGCCAGATACAGAAAGTAGGCAGGGGCGCCACAATTCACCGTCAGACACAGACGTTGGGCAATACACATGTGACAATATTCATACATCTTAGTTTATAAATTGTCAATACTTGCGTCAATGTGATTGTACACAATAGTAAATAAATTATTTTAACTTGAATATGATTATAACATAATATGTAAGGGTGAAATATTATGTTATAATCATATTCAACTAAGTTAAAATAATTTATTTACTATTGTGTACAATCACATTGACGCAAGCATTGAAAATTTACAAACTAAGATGTATAAATATTGTCACATGTGTATTGCCCAACGTCTGTGTCTGACGGTGAATTGTGCCGCCCCTGCTTACTTTCTGTATCTGGCCTGTGAGTGACTATTTCTCTTTATACCTCAGCAACTAAGCCTCGGATAACATTTTGCAAGAGGAAAAATAGTCTTAGAATTCGTTAAAAAAATACGAGAATATTAACCGAATGCGATTGTTTCCGATCACCCTGTATATATGTATATACAGGGTGTCCCACAAGTGGTAGAACACCCGTTAAAGGTAGGTAGGGGGTGAAATTTGAAACTGAAAGTTCTTCCATTTTTTGATCCGACAATTAGTTAATGAATGAATTAATTAATTAAGTCTGCCAATCCCTTAGCGCTCCATGTGAGCGCTCAGGGCTATAGGGCGCCGTGGACTCCTCAATGGCCCTGCTTGCCCGTTTTTCTTCCCTTATTTGTATCACAGAGGAATAAATATAGATAAGTGAGTAAGTGGGTATGTGGATGGCTGCCTGACCGGAGCTAGCAACCGAGGGTAGCAAGTTTTCAATGTGTGGGAGTGATGTATGGATGTTTTTATATGTGGTTATGAGTGCATGGATAATTTGAATGTTTTTAGTGCGAGTGGGCGGAGTGATTGCACTTTGACCCGTATTCTGAGTTCTTTTTTAACGATAAATAAGCCTCTAAAAGTGACTCATAGCCAATCAGAAAGCTTATAAGTCACTTTTAGAGGCTCATTTATCTTTAAAAAAAGAACTCAGAATATAGATTTTTATGTGTCTGAGAGGGAAGGCATGTGTAGTATATTTCTTTCGAGTGCGTGGATGACTTGAATGTTTTCTGCACGTCGATGGTTGAGTATCATGCATGGACATAGGAATATCTGCACGGTGCGTATTTCGCGGGGAGTGAATTTACAAGTGTGAGAGGAATGAAAGTCGAAAGTGATCACCAAATATGACGGCAGCCTATATCATGGAGCACAATAGCTGCGTTTGGCATTATAAATCGAAGACGTCGGATTGCTCTTTTACCTCGAAAATGCACAGAAGTGAGAGAGATACGAGATCTCGTACCTTTTTCATTTCTATGCATCTTCGAGATGAAAGAGTAATCCGACGTCTTTGATTTACAATACCGAACGCAACTATTGTTTATCTTGATATAGTGTATTGGAAAATGTATACAAAATAAATACGTGTATATGAGTGTGCGTGAATATAAAGTTTTACCCTGATTGTAACTGCTGTTATATTAAAATATACTTGTGAAATGATAGTCTTTTTACATTCCCATTCTAGTTGTATTTTATTTTTCCGGCTTCTCGGTTCTCCGGCTTTTACAATGTTTCGCGTAACAATCCGGCATCTTCTACTACGAAATATATATGCCGGTATTCATAGTCCGATCTTATATTTAAGATCATCTTAAGTATTGTCTTAAGATGAACCAATCACAGAACCGTATTCGCATCTTAAGACATTACTTAAGACGGTCTTGAAATAAGATTCGACTATGAATACCGGCCATAGTCCTATCTATAAGGACCTTTTACCACAAAGGTTAAAATCCCCGATATATATATATATATATATACATACATATATATACATATATATACATATACATATACATATATATACATATATATATATATATATATATATACATATATATACATATACATATACATATATATACATGTATATACATATATATACATACATATATATATATATACATATACATACATACATACATACATATCATACATATACATACTCAGAAATAAAAGGTTTTCGGATAAAAGGTTACCGTCCATTAAGAGTTTTTGGTTTGTTTTAACGAGTACTACATACCCCTAAAATTTGGTACCACCTTTTGGGAACACCCTGTGTGTGTGTGTGTGTGTGTGTGTGTATATGTATATATATATATATGTATGTATAT